TTGGTGGTCTGTTTGTTTTTTGTAGATGGACACAATACCTTTGTTATTTATTTATTTAGTGACTTAGTTAGTTATTTATTTTAATTGGTGCTGAGGGTGAAATCCAGTGCCTCACACTCGATAGGTAAGCACTCTATCACTGAGCCCCAGCCCCAGCCCCATCTTGGTGGTTTCTTGATCCTTGTCATAAAATTAAGTCTTTAATAAACTAGTGTTTTAGAAAAGCAGGGTCTAGACAACTTGTAAGTTCAATTTTCCAACCCAGATGAACTTAAAAATTAATTCAAAATAGCAACGCTTTCAGATACATTTTACCCAACCAAGTAAAATGAGTTCAGGATCTCAAGTCAGTCATTATATAACCTTGAACAAATTATTTAAAATGCCAATTTACCCATCTATTAAATTAGTAGAAGTAGATGATCTAAGTTTTCTTCCAGTCTAATTTGAGGACCATTAGTGCACACAATTTTAAGTATATTACCCCTAGAATATTTACACATATAAATAATACGTACATAAATAATGCCTAAATTTCCTTTCAACCACTCTGTGCCTTCCAACATTAACATGCTACAGAAGCTGAGCATACTGGAGAGAATAAGAGAATGTTCTTTCCATGCTTAGTTTACCTTTACAGCTTTAAGAAGAAAAAAGAAAAATCTGCAATAAAACAAATATTATAGAAAATATGGTGATTTTTTGCAATTTCCACTGAAATATTTAATGGGGAAAATGAGTTTTAAAATATGGAGCTGAATTACCTCGCAGAATTTGTTCAATTTCTGAATGAGTTACGGAGGCAACCTGTGCATATTTCTCAAAATTCTTTTGAAATAGCATTTGAAAGTTTTAATATTTTCCAATGAGAATAATTTTGCCCCAAATTAAAGGATGGATTAAATAAAAAATTTTAATGGAAAAATGGGGAGAGAGAGATATCCAGATTCTTGGTAACCAGATGAAGAAAATTGAGCTTACCTGTAATTTATTTGATTGGCTGGGATGGTTCTTTTTTTAAACATACATTTACCTCCCCCACAAACCTGCTGTTTTACCTCTTGCATTACTGTAATTTAATTGGCATTAGAAATATCTCTCTCTTAAAGATGGTTATTTTTAAAACATGTAACTTAGCACATAAAAAATTTCCTAATTTTTGTGTGGTGTATCTGAAGTGTTTATTTCAAAATGCAGGTAGGAGGAGCAGGAGGGGAAAAGACAATATCAGGCTATCAAATGAAAGAGAAATACTTTACGGGAAATTCTTCTAAGTATATCTTCCAGAAATAGTATGTTTATGAAAGGGGTAGTAATGCCTGAAAGCTAACAAATTAACTCACAAAGGAAAAATTCAGAGCAGCCATTATTCCTGACGATATTAATATTTCCTTAGTGTGATTCTGAATAATTAGACCCAGTTGGTTTACTCCCCAGGGCCTAGCACCTCAGCCTATTTGGTAGTTCATAAATATATTTTTTTGAGAAAAATAATTTAAAACAGTCTAAGGAATAAAAAAAGCTTCCTTTATCACTAAGATATTTTATTTATTAGTAATGAGATAAAGGACATTTCCAGTTTTATCATTTTTCTAGAAAGACCAACAATGATCAGTAGTTGGTTATGTGTGTCCCTCAACCAATTAATAATAACCTCTAGTTGCTTCTAGGAATAATGTTAATATGAATGAAATGAAATCTGAAAACATTACCATCTGATCAAACATACTGGTCTTCATTGGGGGTAGCATAGGAGGTAGAATCTCAATCTGTTCTTTCAGTTATTAACATATAATAAGATTGCTGAGAGAAACTATAAAATCTATAAAACATTGCTGAGAGAAACTAAGGAAGGGCTACCTAAATAAAGAGAGATGTATCATGTTCATGAACTGAGAACAACATTGTTAAAATGTCAATTCTTCCCAAAGTGAGTAGATTCAATACAATCCAGTCAGAATACTGACAGGAATATACATACACATATATATGTATATATGTGTAGTGATTGAGAAATTTCTTTTTTTGTTGTTCTTAAAAATCAGAGATCCTAGATACAAAAATAATTTTTAAAATGTACTGCATGTGACCATTTATTATTGTAGTTTGTCCCTTGGTGTTGCTAGTGATGGGTACTGACTTATATATTCAGTTTTCTTTTGGAATAGTGATGAATTATAAGATTCCACAGTATTTTCTTATCTCTTGAATATGTTGTAGTGCTATATTTTATATTTTCTCATCAGATTTATTGCATGCAATCTTCTTTCCACCAGACCTTGGTAGCCAAGGTTTTATCTTTTCTAGTATGTACTGTTGCAGAATTACACAGTATGTAACCTTTGTAACTGGTTTCCTTCACTTACTTTTAAAATTCATGCATGTTATTACATGTCAGTAGTTTGTCCCTGTGGTGGCACTATAATGTATTAACCTACCTAGGCCTAATTATGTTTTCCAGAATTCACTTCCTTATATGCTTCTAGTTAGGGTAGGCCACAAGAGACATCTTAGTGTGACATCTGCACAGCAGAGGTAAAGCAGTACCTATTCTGTTCTTTATGTGGACACTTCTGTAACTCAGACATGTGGTACCCTCCCTGCTAGCTTACCTCACTGATGTGGGCAGCAGCCAGGCTTACCAATGTTCCATTTTTCCTTGGATCCTACTTCATCTCTACTTCCTGAACCAATTGTTTTAGCAACACACTTCCAAAGGCAGGGAGCAAAGGGCAACAGTTCTCTCATGGGATACCACTTCATAAGGCTAGAGACAAGAGCACTGCCATGGTGTGTCAATCCACCTTCATGGGTTCCAGCTTGTCATCACTCCCTCATTTATATCTGTCTATCCTTCCTACCTGCCAACCCCATGAACTTCCAGCTCCAGCATTAGATGCAAAACACAGCCTCACCAAGACTGCTTATCAACTCCAAATAAACAGACCACTACACAAACATGACTGCAAGTATCCTAGAAGTTCTGCTTCTCTGACTGAGGAAATTCCTTTTCACTGTTGAGTAAATTTCCATTGTGTGTACATACAATTTTTAAAATTCATTCATAGTTGATGAACATCTAGTTGTTTTCCATTTGGGTCATGAATAAAGCTTCTATGAACATTCACATACAGGTCCTTCTGTGGACATATGGTATTCATCAATATAAGAGGAAACAGCTAACAGAATCAAATGTGATTACCACTAGAGACGGGAAGGGGTACAAGGAACATCTAAGGTTGATATTTTTGAATTTGAGTACTTTGTTACAATGACTTTTAAAAACCAACATCACTGAATTGTACATTCTAAAAAGATAAATCTTATGGTATGGGAATTATATATCAATTTTAAAAAGCATATAATAGAATAGACAGACTCTGTCAATTTGTGATTTAATGTCAAGTTTTATTCACCTTTTTTCTTATAATATACTCATTCAAAATATACCTCATAAGTAACTCATGCATGCAGTAGGCACTCTATAAATATTTTAATTTAATAATTAGATGTTTTTTAGAATGACTAAAAATCCTGATGTAAAATCCCAATTGGGAAGTGCATAATCCCATCATAGACAAAATATAACTTTACAATAAACATTTTTATAAGAATTTGCCCCAAAGAGGGAACACTTAAAATTTGGAAAAAAAAATAAAAAGTAAAAAGTAAAGGAAACATAACACTGACATTTAGATAATGATCCCTGGATCGGTGGTGCTTATAGACCAAGAGCTACCTGCACCCTGTGGCCTTAAGACCATCTGACATTCAGTTAAGCAGAGAATTATATACCTTATACCTTCTTAACTGGAAATGCTGCAAGAATATATAAGCTATAGCCTATGAAAAAATTCTACCTACATCCCTCATGTGAACACAGAAAATATAATATACATTTTATAATGTATATTATAAAATTAAATATACATTTTATTCTTAAATTTAAAAAAAACAAGGCTTTTTATCTTAAGCAGCAAGAATGATCCACAAATAAGCATGAAGTCACTTTAATAGAAGCTGTGTTAAATTCTGTGGAAAATACTTTGGGAGATAAGCTCAAGAATCTTAATTCAAATATAAAACAAATCCTTTCATTAAAGGGTCATCCACTGTTTTACAAAACCAAAAGGCTATGACTACACATGATAAAGATGTATCTTTATTTTATGATTATTCACTCTGGCTTGGAAAAAATTATAGCACTATCATGGTAAAGAAAAATTAAAAGCACCCAAATGACCAGGGAAGTAACTATGCAAACTTATAAATACCCTATGGCTAAAAAATAAAAATGCCTATTTTTCAAAAATGACATAATTCTATAAAAATCTGAATAGACTACACAATACACGGAAATATATATGTATATAATACTATTAAGTGAAAAAAATAAAATTAAAAATATAAAATGATTATAACCATGTAAAAGTAAATATATTACAATAACAAAAACTGAAGTGAATTTAAATTGACAGACATAAATAGATTTAAATATTCATTATGGTTTTTCTTCGTTGCTTAAGATTATAATAAAATAAAAAAAAATAGACTATTATTTTAGATAAAATTCTATTGCTAAACAATAAATACTGGACTATATTTGTGAACTAAAACAGAGGTTTTAAAAACCATAATGTTTATATTTCAAGTGTATCTTATGGTAGGAGATAAATAAGCTCACATTTGCTGACCTTTACTTTTTACAAAACCTTCTGAGCAATGTGTATATTTATACTCCTCTTACACATAAAAAGAATGACATTTTAAAGCACTGTCCAATTAAGAAAACCAAATAGCATGCTAATTAAAATCTATCTACTCAATGTGTTTTGCTCCTGCAAAAAGCCACTGACAGGTTTTAAAAAACTAATTCTATATACATATATTACATAACACATATTTATGCTATAAATATTTTAAAGGATGGCTTTTACATAATTATTTCAATATATATCTTATTAATTTAATTGCAAGTTATGTAAATACAGTCTTTCAAATTCATTATTGAAAATTATTCTCTACAAGATTTAGAAAATGGTTAATTTCTTGGATAAAACATAGCATATTTAGAAGTCCGAAAGCCAAGCAAATCTCTTATTTCATTTCGGAATTTTGACAGATCTTGGCGCAGTTCATTTAGATTTTCCACAGTTGCCTGATCTGTACTTTGCATCTTCTGTCTCATGGAAGTCAAGTAACGATGTACTAAGCAGCACATCACTTTTTGATAGTTTTCATCTCTCTTTTGTTTCAAATTTCTCCATTCCTTCAAAACATAAAATAATACGATAACCAATGATATGCAGGAAAAAAATATATAACTATTTACAGTGATGGGGATGGAACACARAGCTTTGTACATGTTAGGCAAGCACTCTACAACTGAAGTGTACCCCCAGTTCCAGAAACAATGTTTAAATGAGATAATTTTTTTAAAAAAGGCACACAGAGCTTTTAATGCTTAAAAGATGACAGTTTTGCCATAAAGTGGTACAAAATAATGTTCAACACTTGTTTAAAACAAATATAGACTGCATATCTGTTTTATTTACTCATCACTATGCAAACTTGGTTTAAAAAAATGGCATTAGGAATATTAAATTTAGAGCAGAATTTAGTGAACTATGAGCCAAAGTCCAAAATGTGGCCTCATTCCTGTTTTTTATAGTATATGACCTAAGAATGGTTTGTACAAATGAACATTTGCAATTAATTTTATGATAGGCAGCTCTCTAATCTTGAACTTTAAGTAGAATTTTATCTCTACCAAAAGGAATCACATTCTTTTTATTAGTACTCATGTATTACAAAGATTATTACTCAATTATTGTCATATTTTGGATTTCACCAATAAAGATTGATGGGAATTTTTTTCTCTCTTGTCATATTACTACTTACATAATATCTTTAATTTTGTTTTGGCTTGCAAAATGTGAAATATTTACTCTTTAGCTTTTTACTGGAAAATTCGGCAACATCCTGGGTTATAAAAAACATGTACTATATATATTTTTTTTTTTGACAACGATGACAGCAGTACTTTATTTTATTTTAATTTTTTTTTAAAGAGAGAGTGAGAGAGGAGAGAGAGAGAGAGAGAATTTTAATATTTATTTTTTAGTTCTCGGCGGACACAACATCTTTGTTGGTATGTGGTGCTGAGGATCGAACCCGGGCCGCACGCATGCCTGGCGAGCGCGCTACCGCTTGAGCCACATCCCCAGCCCTGTACTATATTATTGATGTATTGAATAACTTTCAAGAAGAATCAAATAGCAACATAGAAGTTTGAGCAATTGTCAATCTCAGATGTTTCTTTTTTTTTAAATATTTATTTTTTAGGTGTAGATGGACAGAACATAATGTCTTTATTTTTATGTGGTGCTGAGGATCAAACCCGGGTCCTGCCTGTGCTAGGCGAGCGCTCTGCTGCTGAGCCACAATCCCAGCCCTGTTTCTTTTTTTAAAAAATATTTTTTTAGTTTTTGACAGACCATTATTTTATTTATATGCAGTGCTGAGAATCGAACCCAGTGCCTCATACATGCCAGGCAAGTGCACTACCACTGAGCCACAGTGTCAGCCCTATCAGATGTTTCTTAAAGAATGAATATGCAAGTCAATACATGAGCTGCCTCTATTAGTCATTTTTTATCTACGGTGAAAGAATAAGTATTCTAAATTATTTTCCATATTTTCAAACTGTAAGATGAGATTTCACATGCTGGGAAAATTTGAAAACTAAAGAAATCTTGCTTCTATCTCTCACTCTCAAATATTTACTAAATCCTTCCTTCATGTTAGATACTATGTTGTGCATTAGGGATACAACAGTGGATAAAACAAACTAGTCATAGGCCCTCAGGAACTCACATATTTAGGTTTTAATGCATGGATGGTGGAAGGAGACCCTCATTGTTATATGAAATACATACATGAAGATGTGAGAAAAAAAGAAAGAATAGCGCTACCTTAGATTAGGTAGAGAGAAGTGATTCGAGGGGAAGGGAGGGGTTGGGGAGATAGGAAGGATAGTAGAATGAAACAGACATTATTATTACTGTGTGTATATATGTGACTGCATGACCAATGTGATTCTGCAACCTGTATACTCAGAAAAATGAGATATTGTATCCCATGTGATTCAAATGTATGATATGTCAAGGTCATTATACTGTCATGAGTAACTAATTAAAACAAATTTTWAAAAAATACTCAAAAAAAAGAAACATCCAATATTAGGGATTGCTACAACTTCTTTGCTGCAAATCAAACTTCTAATTTCTTACCTTTAAACTGTTTTGCCGTTTGACCTTGCCTTTTGATGTATGAGAGCAAATCCACTTACTGAGGCTACTAATCAGATAACAAATAGTCTTTGGAGAAGGAATGATGTTGAAAGGTGGTGGTAATGTACACTTGTCATCAAAGTAGCTAAGCCACAACTTTGCTCGAGCAAATTTCCATTCTTTGTCTTCATGATTCTATAGGAAGAAAATGAAAAGCAATATAGAGTGAGTGTATGCATGCACATGCGCGCACACACACACACACACACAGGCAGGCAAGAGAGGGTGAGGGAACACATTCTTTAAAACTATCTAAATGTTTCCACATCATGTAGACAAAAAATTGGTCTAAGGTTTGCAACTGTTATAAATTACATTTTAAATTTATATATTTAATTTTTTAATGATACTATTTCTTAATTCTTATAATTTTTGTTTACTTTATTGCACACATTTAGTATGATCTGAAGAGAATATAAAGTTTTAAAAGAAAGAACACTTACTGCTATCAACTGAAAGCTTTTATGAAGCATTGCTACCAGCAGTTTCGTAAGCACAATCACAACTACGACATTGTATGTACCAACAATAACGGCTCCAACAAAGGACTGCAACTCTTCTCCATAGCTAAATCTTGTGACAAAGATTGCCACATGTGCTAAGGAAAAAATATACCAGAACAAAGCAAAGCAAGTGCCAATGAACCTGTAAAGACAATTACATTTCTGTTTTAAAGGAAATTAAACAAATTGGCAAAAATGAATAACAAAAGTATACAAAACATACATTAATAATCCTTGCATAACACTTTATAGGACTAAATGAGGTTGATTTCCATAGTATAGGTATGTCTTATTTTTTAAATTTATTTTTAGTTGTAGATAATGGCTTTATTTTATTTATTTATTTTTATGTGGTTCTGAGGATCGAACCCAGTACCTCACAAGAGTGAGGCAAGCACTCCACCACTGAGCTACACCCCCAGTCCCAGGTATGTCTTACTTTAAACAAGGACATGGACTTAAAGGAAGATAAATGATTCCTCCTTGTTTAATCATTTGCAGCCTGTCTAGTCTCCACACAGCAGCCTATTTGATACTTAGTCAGATTTTGCTAGCATTCTGCTAAAACCTTCAACTGTTGTTCACTCTCAATACTCGAATCCTAACAAGGGCCAACAAGGTCCCTCCCACCTGGTCCCTATTACTTTGAGATCTCATTACCAGCAACTCTCCCACAGAGGCACCACATTCCATCCACACTGACCATGCCAGCCCTGCTTCAATTGCTAGGCATTTCCTTTRCTGTTCCCTCTGTCTGCGAATGCTCTTCTGCCAGACTACTCCATGGCATCTTTACCAACTTTATTTCTGTACTTGATTATCATCTCTTCTGGGGTACTTTGTAGCCCCTATCAAATCTCTCTTACGTGCGTATATACGTATATACTAGCATATACTATGTACTCAATGAACACATATTCATTAATCATGTTCTTTAAATAAGAGGACACCCAATGTAACAAATTGTTGTTATGTAACAGGAATACACAAATGTGGAATACTATACCTTTTCTTTATTATTTTATTTAAGAAATAAGGTAAGAACTGGGCATGGTAGTTGCACGCCTGTACTCCCAACGGCTTGGGAGGCTGAGGCAGAAGGATGGAGAGTTCAAAGCCAGCCTCAGCAACTTAGCAAGGCCCTAGGCAACTTGGTGAGACCCTATCTCTAAAATATAAAAAAAAAAAAGGGCTGGGAATGTGTCTCAGTTGTTAAGCAACCCTCAGTTCAATCCCAGTACCAAAAATAAAAAAAAAAGAGGGGGGCAAGGTATTCTGTCTACCTCATGGCTGGTTGTTTCACTCCTTATGATTCATTAGAGTTGAAGAAAACCTTGTTCATAAGTTCCAATGATTCACAATTCTAACGACCTCTTAAGAAGTGTTGAAAAAGTGAGAGAGTATATATGGTTGTAACAATGATTGGGAGTTGCAATTGACACTGAATCCTTGGAGAATAGAGATGCTGACCACCTTGCACATATGGCTGACAAAGAACTACCCCCAAATGCTAAGAATGTACAAAATGCCAAGAGCTGCTGTGTTAGGTAGGGTGCAGTACAGAAGATAGGTGTAGCAACTTGGATCTACTAATTAGATTCTCTATGTAAAATGACTACAAATGATTCATGAAAAATGAGAATGTGTTAAAGTTTATAAAAAGGAATTTCGTAAAGAAAAATTTGAGCCTTATTTTTATAGCCTCTAATTCACATTGAACACAACAGAGAGAAATATATTTACTAAAAATTCCAAAATACACTCACGAATGGAAGGTATCATTGCTTTGCTGTTCACAGAAGATGCCCACACAGTCTTTCTGCTCTTTTGGAGTATAGCCTTTATCATAGAGCTGTGTCAGTCCAATTGTGAAAGAAAACAAAACAAGAAGGAACATTCCGAGAAATTTTCCAAAATCTTGTAACATCTGTCCCATTGAAATCTGTGGAATGTATTACATAGATGTTTATTAAAATTACCAGAGAAACTAGATATTAAATATTGAATTACCCAGCAATAGTAACAAGAAGACAAACACATGATCCTCAAGCCATCTCTTTTATTTCATCTGGTTGAGATATTCCAGCAATTTGAAAACATCAAAAATCCAGCTGTCTAACAAAAAGCCATTCTAATCATGACAACACCGAAAGTGTTGGATGATACAGTCTGTGAATCTGGAACAGGTCTGCAAAGGGCGCTGTTTCTATGGAGGTAGGGGTACAGGGAAGGAAAGTTTTTAAAGGCCTAATTTGAAGGGATACAAGGAATGTGCCCTAATGAAATCCAAAAGGAAATAAGCACTTCTATTTATGTGGCTTCTTAAAGTTTGCAAATATAAAATCATTAGGACACAAAGTATTTCATCTGATTTTTGCAACCAATTCTAATCCAATTCCTAAAGAATCTTCCTCCCTCAGGTCTGCAGTGATCTCTTTTTGCTGAAGGGATCAACTTACTTTACTTTGGTTCCGTTTTAAGAAAGCATGTGTGTAAGCCAAATGGGAGTGTCCACCATTAATAATGAATATTAAATAAATATCTTTTGTAATTAACACACATATAGGGCATCTGGAAGGTTTTTTTTTCCTTTTAATTGTAGTTGTAGATGGACAGTATACCTTTATTATATTTGTTTTATTTTTAAGTGGTACTAAGGATCGAACCTAGTGCCTCACACATGCTAGGCAGGCCCTCTGCCACTGAGCTACAGCCCCAGCCCCATCTGRAAGTTTTAATCAAGCCTAATTTCATTCTCCTTCAACATCTGGGAATAAGGTACTTTCAATAAATCTTAGTGTCTAAATTGAAATTACAAATTTCGGAAAGCAATTTTAGTTTTTTCTTTTTTGGTCCTGGGGATTGAACCCAGGGGCACTCAACTACTAAGCCACTCCCCAGCCCTATTTTGTATTTTATTTAGAGACAGGGTTTCACTGAGTTGCTTAGTGCCTCATTGTTGCTGAGGCTGGCTTTGAATTTGTGGTTCTCCCGCCTCAGCCTCCAGAGCTGATGGGATTACAGGCATGTGCCACTGCGCCCAGCTGATGGTAATTTTTTGACCCAGCAATTCTACCCCTAGGAAAGTAGCCAATAGGAAGTAAAAAAGATGCATGTACACACAATGACTTTCAATGCAGTATTGTTAGAGGTAGCAATAACAATTAGAACATTCCAAATATTGTTTTTAAGAGAAGGAAGAACAACATGTGCTGGCATAAAAAGTTACTTATAAAACACTAAATCAAAAAAATAGTTTATTAACATTTTGTAGATACATAAACAAAAGTCCCACTACTATCTTTTTAAAGGACATATAAGGCTATAATATGCACAGGAAATTTCTGGAAGTTTACCCAACACATTGTTAACAATGTTCATGAAAGGTAGGACTACAGGTATAGAAAAAAGGCAGACTCTCACTTTATATTCCTTTGAGTTTTCTTTACTATATGCTTTTGTTACTTTTAAGACAAAAACACTAGTGTTTAAGTATAACCTTTCATAAAATTTAAGTAAATGTATTTAATAAACCAAATCTAGCTTCAAATAAAATTTCTAATCAACCCAAGCCTGTCAACATAGCACATGCCCCCTTGCCAATGATACAAAATGGCTGCCACAGACAAGTGGCCAAGCTCTTCCAGTCTACTAAAATGAGCAAACTAAGCAGAATTTTTAGGCTCACCACAAGCTAGTAATCCAGATTCTGCAACAGTGACTACGCCATGTGTTGCTTTTCAAAGCATGCTTCCTTCACTTGGCTCCCTTGCAAAATTCTGACAGAAGTAGGGATTGTTTAGAATTGGAATATCAGCTCAAAAGTTTTGAGAAAGAGAATAAATATATTTTCCTCTTAAATGTACTAATTAATGACAGCTTTATTGGGTCACCTTGAAAAAGAAAAACATTCATCCAGATTGTGAGTGCTCAGAATAAATCCATACCATACTGATAGAGACCTTAGTAACTTTTAAAAAAATATATATACATTGAAAATCTTTTTTAAAAAAAATCTTTATTTTTATGTAGTGCTGAGAATCAAACCCAGTGCCTCACGCTTGCCAAGCAAGTACGCTACCACTTGAGCCACATCCCAGCCCCGAGACTTTAGTAACTTATGCCAGTAAGAATACAGTAACTGCTTTTGATAACTATAGAAAAGAGTACCCTTGAAGAAACTTTAGACACTGTAAGCTTATAGGTAAATAGGGTTTTCCAAGGGCAATCATATATGATGATATAATTTTAATTTTTAAAACAGGAAAAAGAAGTTTCAATTTAACATAACAAAGTTTTAAAGAATAAGTGTAATCAATTTCATTATAAAGGTGAACAATACTGAATGAGAATTCCATAGATTTCATGACTTTTAAAAAGCATATTAGTTCTTGTATACCAAAGAAGTACAGTGGATATCACCTAGGTGAATACTGGCTTGAAGACACTAAACAACCATGTGAGAGACAAACATAAAAAACAGGAAATGTATTTTAGACTGAGAAAGATTACATGGGTTATACATTTGTAAATGTGATAATCATGCTTTTACAATATTTCCTTATTTAAAAACTACTTGACAGTTTTGAGGAATATAAAATTTTTAAAACAAAAAGGAAAGATAATTACAACTTCAATACTAAAATAAAAGGAGTTAATACTAGTATATATAGGAGACTGAGGAAGGAGGATCACTTGAGTTCAGGAGTTCAAGGGCAGCCTGAGACCCCATCTCAAAACAAATAAAAACAAAAAGAATATTATGAAAATTAGAGCAAACTACTGAGTTAATGTAACTTTAGATAGCATCAAATGCTACTCAAGTGATGAAACCCTGTATTTTTATATTGATTGTGCACCATAAGACAAACACCACATGTGAAAAAAGAAAGAAATACTGAAGTATTATAAGGATCACATCTTTTGATCTTTTAACACTATTTCTGGAGACTTATCCTTAGGAAATAATTTAATGGAGGCAAAAAACTTCATATATATACAGCATTATGTAGAACTACAAAAATGAGCTAAATTCCTTGAATTATAAAGGTTGATATCATTAGGGTTCACATCAAAAAATATATCATTAGTTCATTAAATTATAAAAGTAGCTGACAAAGGGAAGCAATAATAATGACAACTTCTAGTCATTCTCCTTCCAGTTTTTCCAGAATAAAGCCATAATTATCTGTCTAAAATTTCTATCTACTCAATCTACCCATGTTCAAAATTCTTTGTGTAAGTAATAATATTTAAAATTCCTGACACAGAGATCCTCAGAATCCAGCCCAGTCTGTCTTTTTCAGCTTCAGCTCCATAACTCCACAGGTCTACGCATGATGGACATCCTGTACATGTACACCACACCTGATGCCTCCACACTTCTGCACAGTACTCTCCTCTTCTTTGCCAGGGAAGCTTCCTATCCCTTCAAGACTAATATTGAAGGCCACATCCTCTCCAGAGCCTTTCTGATTCCCTCCAGATCCTTTCTCAGTCATGCTCCAAAAGGAACTCTGTTATTTCTAAAACAGTGTTTTTTTACTTTATACTAACATTTGTGTGTGTGTGTGTCCTTCACCAGTGTTTAGGGGCAAACACCAAATAAGCTCCAGAGCCTGGCATATTAATTAAAATGTTGAACACATAACTATCTTTCATATGCCTTTTATTTAATTCTTTATAGTTTTTCAAGAGCTATCACATATTTCTCAAGGTGAGAAACACAGAATTATCTCTACTGTTCCAAATGACAAAACTAAAGCTCAGAGAGATTGACTCAATTGCTCAGGGAAATACAACTAACAGATGGCAGAATGGATTCTTGCTTCTAACTCCTTGCAAGCACTTTTCTAAAACATTATTTTGTGGATTTATCTTAGCTCTCCCATTACAAGTTTGGGGTTAGGTACAATTGGGAAGGATTTAGTTCTCACATAATAGTTTCTGCACACCAAGAATTGTTGAATTAATATGTGAATGAATACCCAACAAAGATGTAATTGTTAGTTAATTTGGTTAATTAACACCAAGTTCTTCTAACACTGTGTACTTGCCTTAGTTCCTGATCTAGAAATAGGATACAAGGGGTCGCCAAAGGTTGCATCAGACTCACCTATTTAATCAGTATCTCTAAGGGCAAGGCCTGAGAATCCAGGTTCAACACACTCCCCAGGTGGTTCTACAACCTGCCAGTTTAAGAGCCTCTGGACTACATGAGCTCCATCTCTGACATTTTATGCTTCTTAAAAGAATATTCACCTCCAAGTATAACCTCAAAAGCAAAGCACCTGAAATAGCTCTTAATTCATTAGAAACAGCAATTTATATTATATAAACTATTAAATTAAATCTGATAATTATCCAGTAAGTCCAAATAACTCACTAGGAATAAATATGCACACATAATATTAACCTTCCAAAATTCTTGGATTATTTCTCAAGCCTTCCATAGTCATCTACTATAAAGGGAATAGAAGAATGGATCAGTCATTTATGGAAAGCCAACAATGTGTCAGGTACTCTGCTGTACATACTATCACACCAACCCATTTAATCCTCACAATAAAACACATATAGGAACTGAGGCTCACAGAGATTAGGCAACAGTGGATGATGGAGCAAGACTGTGAATCAAACCGTTAGAATCCAAGGGGTATTCACCAACTTTAATATTAGTAACCCCAATAATTAGACCAAACAGAAAAGCAAAACTTTAGGTGAAAGCACTTTCAGCTGTAAATGTTGAAGCCCAAGGAAGCACGCACAAACCTTTAAGGGCCTCTCTCCTTCAGTCTCATTTGCGAATCACTACCACCTTAGAACTGCTCCTTGCCTGAATTCACTGCATTGGGGACTCTCCTCAGAGCATGCTAATCAACAAATGAGGGCATTTAGTTGAACTGTCTGTGAATGCATGATATGGGAGACATTTCTATTTTG